CCGCTTGGCGCTGTGCCCTGCAGTGCTGGGGTTTGAAGATGAATGAGAACTCTGCCCGCACAGAACTCAAAACCAAGAGGCCAGGCCACATACCAACCACAGTGCGTGGGGCCAGTGCAGGACAGAGGTGGAAGCACAGGAGTGAGGAGTACCAGGGTTGGTCACAAGAGCCAGGAAGAACCCTGATGGGGACCCCCAGGATAGGCAGTCCAGATCTGTGCCTTGGAATCCATGATTAACCCAACTCAGTCCTCTGTTTCCTTATCGACAAAGTGGGAGTTATAACTTCCTTTACAGAGTTATTTGAGGCTGATAGATCAGAAGTATATAAAACGCCTGTCACAGTAACTGCACACAGTAGGTACTCAATAAATGAAGCTGTTAATGTTCTTTCTCCCACCACCTCTTCTGCCATGACTTTGCAGAACTAGACTCACTTTGAACCAAGGATGTTCTAGGGTCTCCTCTGCGGTAGGCCTCCTGTAAAGGAACAGGATTAAGAAGGGATTCATCATTCATGAATTCAGTCAGTCAGTCAATAAATGTTTGGGGAAATGGGGCCTCTAAGGACTTGGGGGATTGGATGTCTATGGGCAGAGGTTGTACAGCAGTAGGGGTGGCACTAGGGGATTCTGCAGGTGGGGGCTCCCCAGGGCCTCGTACTCACAGCCGATCCTGCACCAGCACTTTGATGAGGAAGCCCCGGGCCTCCCGGCTCAGGCTCAGGAATGTCGTCTCCTCAAAGGCCACGTTGTAGTTTCGGATGTTCATCAATGTCGTCCGATCATTTTCCCCAACGAATGGGGAGATTCCCGTGAGACTGCAGGGGAGCAGAGGGCTGAGTGAGAGGTGGGCCAGGCCCTAGGGCTCAGCAAGAGATGATGGGATGCTAGTGGGGACATGGAGTCTGGGAGAGGTGGAGGCCTCGGGGCTGTGGGGCAGACAGAGGCTGGGTGAATCTGGACAGAATCTTTCGGACACTTGCCAGTCCTGCTCCCACCACCATCCCGGAATGGCGGCAACCGGGTTCCTGCACTGGGCCTGTGCTTTAGAGGACCTGTTCTGTCCCTCCTCCAGCTGTGGCCTGTCCTTGAGGTGAGGAGCCTGTGCTCAGGGGATATGCCTCCCTGAGCCTGAGCCTGCTCCTTCCAGTCCCTGCTGGACAGTCAGGACCTTATAGTTCCTGCCTAAATGGCACTGAGCCTGCACTGGCCTCTCTCCACCCAGCCTGGGTGCCCACCCCTTATGGAGGGGCGTGATGGTGGAAGACTTGGACACACAGACTGGGGTGTCCACATACATGCACATGAGGCCCCCTGCCATACAGGAAGGAACAGGGAGTGTGGAAGAGAAGGGTGGGCTGCACACCCCAACTTCTCTCTAGCTCCAGGCCCTGCAAATGTTGGGGGGGCCTGCTAAGAGACTGTTGGAGACTGGGGTCCTGAGTACATAGAAGTCCTTACCAGAGGAAGGCAACAACGCCCACGGGCCTGTGGGGAAAAGAGAGTGGGTTGGTTAGAGGACAGCCCACCTCCCACCAGAAGTGAGCAGTTCTTGGCTCTCAAGAATATAGCAAGAACTGTCATCTCTGCAAACACTGTCATGGACAAATGGCCACAGGGATGCCTCCTGCAGGGAAGACTCTGAACTCAAAGGTCTAGGCATCCCTGGAGGAGTCAAGGGTCATGGCAGGACCAGCCCAGGAAACCATGAGACATCTGGGAACTGAGGGACTGTGCCTTCCTCACTGGGGGGAGGCAAGGTGGCTACAGAGGGGGCAGCTGACCACCCAGGGGAGACAAGGAACCAAGGACTGACAGGCCTGAGGCCTTCAGTGCCCAAGTCATCCCTGATTAATGGATAGGCAGTAATGTGGGCAAGGGACCCGTGAGCAATGCCACCAGTTGACTGTCAGAGAAGGAGTCTGGGCTTAGTAAAGTTCCTCTCTGCCCGTAAGCTACTCCCCAGCACTAACGGAAACTGCCCTGGCCCACCCCAGCAGCTCAGTGTGCCAACATTACCAGATGTCAGTGACTCCGGACACAGGGGTCTGGTTGACAATCTCGGGCGCCACAAACTCAGGTGTGCCATACTGGCAGTACTGGGGCTCCCCCGGAGTCAGCTCCTGGGCATTTCCGAAGTCACAGATCCTCACCTGTTCTTCACCCTCTGCACCGTCCCACACCAGCAGGTTCTCAGGCTGCAGGACAAGGTGTGGGAGCTGAGTGAAGAGGGGACACCCCGCTACCTGGCTCCCACAGGGGCTGCCTGCTTCCCACCCCCACCTGCACCTCACCTTGACATCCAGGTGCAGCACATGGTTCTGGTGCAAGTAGCATATTCCCTCTAGCACCTGCAGCATATAGGCCCGGATCTGTGGAAACAGGTGAACCAGAGTCCGTGGGGGAAGGGTGGGGTATTACGTTTGATCCCCACCAGGGCTGTGGCAAGACGTCAGGCCATGCCTGTTAAGTGGCCTTCGGATGGCCAAAGGAGGGGATTGAAACATAGGTTTGGGTTGTTGAGACCTAGGGCCTCCACATACAGCTACAGGGTCAGGCACCATGATTATAGAAGGGAGTCGTTTACATTATAATAAACAGAATTGCACAGTGCACAACTTGTACAGCCTCCGTGGCAGGACAGCAGCGGGACTGGATAGAGTCTGGGTGGAGCTCCTCCTGGGAGTGATGTTTGAGGAATGTTTACTTGGGGAGGGCTGGGAAACACAGAGTTAGGGGCAGGGTGGGTCTGCCGAGATTTACAGAGGACAGTGC